GAGCCAATTGACAAGTGTGGTTCTATGATTATTATCGAACATCCGGCAAATGGTTGATGACGAGAAATCGTTTAAGACACATATCTCAGTATCCTATTCCACAATCGATATCCTTAATCCTAATCTTAGATTAGATTAATGCCACACGCCAAACCTGCACACGACACTACTAACTAGCGAATATAGTATATAAGAGCCCTTCGCGAGGACAAATAGAATCAATCAATCAATCAATCAAGACACCTACGGCACGAAGTGCTGCCCGACTTTTTAGTGCGGAGTTCTCGCGATCGATAGTGAGTTGTGCTTGGCAGTTTTATACAGTCGACCTTCCGCTAAGGAAAATTTTGGCAGAGACCAACCCCGATCGCCGATCCTGCGAGGACTCCTCATCTCAGACTTGCTGGATCCTCTCTCTAAGACGCCAGAAATAGTGAGTAATTAATACCCCTTTTTTTTGTTTGTGACCATCTACAATTTTCTGTTGTGCTCTTCAACTTAATATCCTTCCGTTTTTCCTCCTCTTTTTCGTGCTTTCTTCTTTCTACGATCACTCGAAGCGGAATAACGCTTTGAGTAACTCGCATCTCTTTCTTTTCCTGCGAACTCACGAAGCGTCGAACCGCTTTGAATAGTTCGCACTTCCTTCCCTCTGCGATAACTTGAAACGAGATAACGCTTTGAGTAACTCGCATCTCTTTCTCTCCCTGCGAACTCGCGAAGTGCTGAACCGCTTTGAATAGTTGCACTTCCTTCCTTCCTGCGATTACTCGAAGCGAGATTACGCTTTGAGTGACACGCTCTTTCTTCTCCTGTAATTACTCGAAGCAGCAAAACGCTTCAGTAATTCATATCTCTCTCTTATATTCAACTCCTTCCCTTTGGAAATTTCGTAATCCTAATCCATATCCTTCTTAAACTACAACAGCCAAATAGAAAGTAATTTGTATGTAGATGGTTAAACGTAATCGCCATCGTGCGGGCCGTCGGAAAAAGGCCGAGATCGAGGCTCTTAGAAGACAGGGGATACCCATAGTCACGAAAGGATATCCAGGGATCACCATTTTGAAAAACTCCGGTTTTCAACTACAAGAGTCTCCTAGGCCGACCCACCCACCAAATAGGGCCTTAGATTCGGAAATTCCCCTTATAGATTTGACTAATGACAATCCTACTGATATAGCGCCCCTTTCGAAATCCTATCCTTAGAACCAGAATTCCCTCCCCCATCTTACTCTCCCCCACACACTCCACAAATTTCTCCCGAAATTCCTCGTCTCTCCAACTCCCTCCTGAGTTCAACAGTTCCTTTAATGAGATCCTCCAATCTCCGGAAAATCTCATAAAACCAGCAACACCTCCCCCTCTCTCTTCCTAACACATATATCTCCATAAACATTTTCTAGTTTGTAATAAACACACACACTCACACACAACATATTGTATACATATAATCACAATATGTATACATATAATCTTCTCTATAGTAAATTCTGTCAATTAGACTTAATTTGATTAAACTAAATAATATAATAAAATTGATAAATAGCAGAAATTAGTGCAGATAGAAAAATTTGTGAATAATGTACTAAATATTAGAAATTATAAATAAACCGTGTTATCAATTAAAGAGTAAGATGTAAATTATATTGGTTACACTTCATTTCACCATCCTCCCGAATATTTGCACCTTACCGAAGATCGTATAGGTTCTATCCCTATAAACGCGATAAATAGTTCGTAAGTAAGTTAGTATTCTATTATTACATATAAGGTTTGTTCGCGTCGCATGCTCCAACGTGCTCCTATATGCTCCTATCATAGCTCCTACTCACTTCAATGTGTTTATTAGAGTGAGTAGGAACTATGGCAGGAGCATGTTGAAGCATGCGACGCGAACAAATCTATAGTGTTCCTATATTTTTATGAAGATAAGCCTCAGGTAAATTTTAATTATAAATTATTATATAAATTTAAATGATAATGTTTATTGTAAAATATCTAGAATTTAGTGTTATAACAATAAACTAGAATATTTTTAAAATAACGTACATCAACCTCCATTTATTCTAGAATCGTAAGACCTCGTACCGATTCCCAGCCCGCGTCAGAGATCGCATATGGTCCTGTCCCGAGTTATAAGGATTAAATTCTTTGACTTAAAATTCGAACCGACGTTCGCACTGCTTGTTGGAAACAGGTGTCATAGCGTCCCTTCAGGACATTGACCCATATTACAGAGCTATAAAAGGTGCGTTCGACTCGCTCCATCCCTTTCCCGCGGATGCATGCGAGACAAAGCGTCTGCTCTAACGTCCTTCCATGCTTTTTTCTTTTTATTCCTTTCTCTTTCCAAACCTATCCACACATATTACTGGAGCTTGGACGTAACAGTAGGAAATTTTTCGTTTTAATCCAACTAAGTTTTAACTAAAAGGTTGTAATGTAAAAATAATTGATCTATGTTCTTTTGTTTCTCTTTGATTAGATGTAAAATGAATGATCGATGTGAACACTCGCAAACCAAGTCGAACATAGCCCGAATATTAGGCTAATCACGGCGCGCAGCATCGGCCAAGCGAGATTACATTATCCGACACTTTTACCTTCTTCTTCTTCTTCCTAGTATTTGGCCAGGCAGCCAACCAGGCTGAAACTAGGCCATTGAGGTCCGCATATCTGGTTGTTAAACGTTGGGGGGTTGCCGACTTGATGTGATGACGCGCGATCTCGATTCCCCTCCCCACCACCAGACGCCTGCCACCACCCGACGGTGAGTCGCGCGCCAAAGGAGAAAGGGAGGGGGGAAGAATGTAGAGCAACCAAAGCATAGAGAATGGACTGCGCGATCCGTGTAGTGGTATAGGATATGTTGGTCGAGGAAAATGAGAGAGAGGGACGTAGGTTGCGGCCATGGTATAAAGACAAGGGTATGCTCTTGCGCATATTTCAGAAAGGGCCAATCAGGGACTTTGTGCAAGCTTACGTCACACTGAGCGGAAAATTTAAACAGTGTGACTGTAGACGCGTTTCATTTAACGTTTGCAACGCTCGCGAGCATAGGTGCATTCAGGAATTATGCTCAGATAACTCTTGGGTGCATTTTTGCTATAATATAGGGTAAGTGCGGGTAATACACCAGTGTGGGGAATATGCCACACGTTTTGTTTTACAATGATACCGATTAGCAGCGCTTGCGTTAATGACACAGAATTATGTACAATTGTGTGCTTAACGTGTTGCATAAGTATCAAGAATTTTCTCGCAACAGTATTATTTTTATGAGGTAAATACAATGTAACACAGTGAATCATTACATCCTTATTGTTTGCTTGTTAAACAAGGATGAAACGATTTTCTGTGTTACACAGTATATATATTTATGTACGCACACACATATATATATATATATGTACGTATGTATGTGTGTTTTATTTATGTACGTAAGTATGTATATATTTATGTATGTATGTAATTATATGTATGTACGTATTAATGTATATACATATATATGTATATACATATGTATATACATATTTATGTATTGTAATGTACTGTCTGTAAATGTGTTATAGCGGACATAAGGAACTTAAAGAAAAATGTAGATAAAAAATAACAGCAAATGTAGATATTTAAGAGACAGGTTTTTTTATTACTAAATTTAAATGGTTACAATTGTTTATAATTATTTAAGAGACAGACTTTGTATTGGTATATTTTGATATCTTTTTTTGTTTTCGCCTATGATTTTTAGATGCGATCGTTCGGTTTATTTCGCGCACCCTAATGTACGTTCTGGTTCTAATAAGGCATAGTAAAACCTCTTCCGATATTTTAATTTTCAATTTTGGTTGTATTATTTTTGCTAATGTTTGAAATATAAAATTTTCTTTGTTCAAACTAGATCCGTGATACTTATCAAATTCAATATTCATTATATGCGCACATTGTAATAATTTGTCACTCGGATACATACATTTCCCTCGCGAAATAAATTGCAACCAATCTGAATCATACGTTGTTTCTAGTTGGCGCGTTTCAATACCCAATGTCTTGTCTTTACTTTTAAATCTGAACGCTACGTATCCGGCTATATATTTTAAACCCTCTTCATTGATAATTTCATGAACGTTGAAATCCTCTAATGCTTGTAACAACTGTTCTTCGTCACTTGAAATAATCGCGCACGGATCTAATGTTATACAATTTTCATATGAAGCTTCGCCAATACACAATTCTTCTTCTTCATAACTGTAAGTTACAGTAGTGTTTTCTTCTTCAACATAGGATGAAAGTATATCCGTTAACATAGAATCATCGATATCGCAGTTAAGAGGAGATACAAAAATAGGTTCATTCGATTTGTTTTCTTGAACATTACATTCATTTGACAGTGCATATCTAGAATGTTTGCCCAATATATATCGTTTTAATCGGTATTTAAAATCTAAGGGTGTTGGGTGATCGTTCGCACACCCTATTGAACGTAAGAATGAGAACAAATTTTCTAACAAATCTTGATTAAGACGGTAAGTTATTAAATAAGTGATGGGAAAATCGGATGTACTGTATTGTTCTTGTAAGTATAATAATAGTTGTTGTAAAGAAGCGATACTGACTAAGATGCCTTTTTGAAAAGGTAATAAAGTTTTATGCTTTCCTATCCGAGTTTCGTTAATGAAAGACATCATGTTGTTTAAAATCACATTCTGTTCTTCAATATTTATACCGTACGCATTTTTTCCTGTATGTTTACCGTACTTACATTTTGCATTAAAAACATCGAACCAGTCATTACACAATCTGATAACATACGCTGCTTCCTGATATGGTAAATCCAAAAGGTAACTTTTACGGCCGCACCATTCTATCGCAGAAGCTATCGTGTTGGATAAGACTTGCGCAGCAGGAAGAACCTTCTGTCTTTCGGAACCTTGTACATTTAAGTGATACGTAGTGATTTTATGGCTAATTTTTAAATCTCCTGCATTAATGGAAAGCAACTTAAACAATATTTCCTTATCAACTATTTTCCCCTTCCAGATAAACCCTTTGTCCAGAAAATGATTCCTCAACAACTTGAGAAGATGCGGAGCATCTGCAAAAACAAATACTTTTAAGTCATTGCGTGCGGGATGTTGAAAATAAGACTTTTGGGGATGCATTCCTATTTCCAATTGTGACCATAATTTAAGATTGCCCGGGCCCAAGTCACTAGTTATAGCAACCACTATATAACCAGCATCATGCAATTTTAAAATAATATTGTTGAGAGTCGTCGCATCCATTGTTTTATCAAATTCGTAATAAACAAGTTGTTTCCAAGATGCAAAAAGGCTTCTTACCATTACACACTGGCAAGTTTTATGAGGACCAATAACCTTTTCTAACTTACGATCTATCGCAATTTTGTCGTTAATATAAATTTCGTCAAACGTTAACACAACTAGTCTTTCAATATCAAGCATGCTCTTTTTTCTTGCAATCATGCAATGGAGTACAGAGAAGAGTATACCCGGTTCAACATCGATTGTACTTGCCCACCTTCTTAATGTTGAAAGGCCTGGAAGTGGTATTTGCAGAACATGCTTCATATAACGATATGCCTTTGGGCTGACACATCGCAAGGATATCGCGTGTGTGATATCTTCGGAAGACCATTTCATCTTACATAGTGAGGGATTCAATATCATCCGTATTTGTCCTTGACTGAATATTTTTCCCAGTAACTCGTACATTTTTCTTTCCACGAGTTCTTTGTCTTCTTTCGGTCTCGCTTTCTCGTACTTCTTTATCGTCTTTTTCAGTGCAGTCACCTGGAGTTCCAGATCGTGTCTGAAAGTGTAAATAATAAGTGTATATGTGTATAATAATAAGTGTATAATAATAAGTGTATAATAATATGTGTATATTATAAGTGTATAATAATAAGTGTTTATAATCGCATTGTAAGTTCGATGGTGTTCGGCATGTAGTTTAAAGAACTAAAAAGATGGATGTAAAAAAATATTATAAGTAACAAGGCTCAAGAAAAATAAAT